AATACATAATTTGATCGTGTAAAACCTAAAAAAAAACAACAAAAAAACAACAACAACAAGAAAACGGAAAGAGATATTTCGATTTACAAGGGATCCGAATCTTTATTATTCTGTCGAAACCATGGATCTCTCGACATTCTATCACAGATAGCAAATAACCTTTACCGACCGAGAGTGGGTCGGAGAACAAGAGGAGACGGAGGAAGAGAAGATAAGAGAACAGGAGGGAAGAGAAGATGAGAGGAAAGCACTCTCCCAAGGGTTCTATTGGGGTCTAGATTACCCCGGGGTCCTTCTGAGACGATAAGAGACGAAAGGTTTGCTTCCAAGACACGTCAGGAAGACGAGGGAGGAGGGAGGAGGGAAGGAGGGGGGGAGGAAGAAGGGGGGGGTATAGGGTCACCCATCGGAGGAAAAAGGGTGAGGGGAGGGTCCATCTTCCCCAGGGGCGAAGGGTGGGACGACCACCTACCCTGGGGGAAGGAGGGAGCGGGAAGGAGGGGGCGTGAGGGCGTCTAGCCAGTCCGTGGGCGGAACAAGACACAACACACGGGACAGTGGGCGAGGCGGTGAGAAGTGGGGGTACAGGAGCAAGGGGAGGGGAAGGGGAGGGGGAGGGGAGATGGTGGTATTAAAGGTGGCCTCTGATGGAGTCTCTCTCTCTCTCTCTCTCTCTCTCTCTCTCTCTCTCTCTCTCTCTCTCTCTCTCTCTCTCTCTCTCTCTCTCTCTCACACACACACACACACTCTCTCTCGTTCTCTAGATCTGTTACACAAACACATACAGACACACACACATACGCACAGACACACACACTTCCACACAGAGAACACACAAATTCCGAAAGAAATAAGAATGGAAGAAAGATACATCGCCATCCCTCTCCTTTCCCCCCCCCCCCCCCCCCCCAACCAAAAAGGTCTGGAGTGGTCGACTTGTAATTCCTCACAATCCTTCCCACAAACAACCATAAATAATTTAGTTTAATCTCAGATCCAGGAAAGGTTACAAAAAGGAAGAGAAAGAGAGAGAGAGAGAGAGAGAGAGAGAGAGAGAGAGAGAGAGAGAGAGAGAGAGAGAGAGAGAGAGAGAGAGAGAGAGAGAGGAAGGAGGAAACGAGAGAGAGCGAGAAAGGGCAAGAGAGAGAGAGAGAGAGAGAGAGAGAGAGAGAGAGAGAGAGAGAGAGAGAGAGAGAGAGAGAGAGAGAGAGAGAGAGAGAGAGAGAGAGAGAGAGAGAGAGACTGAGAGAGAGAGAGAAAAGAGGGGGTATAGCACACGACAGACAGACAAGAGAGAAAGGACGGCATTGAGAACAAAAATAAATCGAGAGCAAAAGAAAAAGAGATATAAAAAGGAACTGAAAGGCCAGGTTGATTCAAGCGAACTCAGGTTTAATCGGAGGAGAAATTTCGTAGTTCTGGGGTGGGAGCGTTAGATATGCAGCCGAAACACAGAAACTCTACGGACTGACGCGATTGTTTTCACTATAATTGTTATTGACGGCGATGTAGCTTTTATCATTTTACTTTCACTATAATTACTGATGTTTACTATTATTATCATTATTGTTGTTTTCATTATAATAATTCTTATTATTGTTATTATTATTATTATTACATTTATTATTATCACTACTATTATTACTACTATCATTATCATCATTATTATTTTTCTTAATACCATCATCATGCATATAATTTTTAAAACTATTATCATCATGATCATCATCATTTTCATAATCGTTATTAGCATTATGATTATAATATATACTCATAATATGTTTAATACTGGCCTTGATATCATTTCCTCATTATCTTTATTATCACTACTATTGCTATAATTACCAAATTCTTGTTTTATCATTATAATTGTTATTATCATACTTCCTGCTGCATAACTGTTTCTGTTGCTTTGTCGTGATATTATCGTTATTTCAACTACAATTTTTGCTATTGCAAATATTGTGTATATCATACCTTATATGACCATTACCGTCAAAATATTATAGGTAATCATACTGCTTTCCTTGCCGTAAAATTGGTAATCCTTTCCTCTCCATTATCATATTCCTCAGAGACACTGAGCACATCATGCAAACATTTGTCAAAATGAAGATATTAATAATCATGAGGCTCTCTCCAGTTCTCATCTTCATCATCGTTCGGCGGCTATATTTATAATTTATATTTGAAATCATCGCTTCAGCGGACAAGCACTTTCGACCTAAGGGAACAAAGGCCATTAATTTTCAAGTGAATCTAAAATGTCAGATAAATGTCCATATCGTGTTTAAGAGGAGGAACTGCAACGCCATCTATATTTCAAAAGATCGGTCGACAGCAGCAAATTCTGTCGGCTATGACGCGACATGTCAGCAGTCTCATTCGTTATAATCTAAGTCTTCATCAAAGTCGCCCTCACATTTATAAATGCCACGACCCCGACATGATCAGGGGAGGAAGGGCTGGATGGAAATCGCCAGCGAATCTGCCGCCACCATATCGCAATCAATCCGGACAAGCCTCAAGCACGTCCATATTTGAAGGCGAAAGCGGCGGCGGGTAATAACACCTGAGCGAGCGCGTGGGGAGTCGGATGGAAAAACGGGCGGAGGTAATCCAGTCGAGGACGACATGAATCTGTGTGAATTTATGATGGGCGGCGGCAAGGGACAGCGCCGCCGGACGCCACCACCTTCGTGTCAGGGCGGCCGCTCCCGGGTTCTAATTATCTTTAGAAAGGACTTTTGGAAGCGCTCATTACGTGCTCTGCCTCGCTATGCTTTTCGCGAATCGTCGTCTTTTTATGCGGGGGACTATTCGTGCAATTCTCACTTCATAGAAGGAATTTCGTATGATTACACAAATGTGTATGTGTGTGTGTGTGTATATATATATATATATATATATATATATATATATATATATATATATATATATATATATATATATACATATATATATATACACATACATAATATGTATATATATATATATATATATATATATATATATATATATATATATATATATATATATATATATATATATATATATATATAAATATAAATATATATATATATACATATATATACATATATATACAAATATATATATACAAATATATATATACAAATATATATATACATATATATATATATATATATATATATATATATATATATATATATATATATATATATATATATATATATATATATATATATACATATATATATATATACATATATATATATATCTATATATATATACATATATATATATATATATATATATATATATATATATATATATATATATATATATATATATATATATATATATATATTATACACACACACACACACTCGTGTGTGTGTGTGTGTTAGTATATATGTATGTATGTGTATATATGTGTATACATAAATATGTATATAAAAACATATATATATATATATATATATATATATATATATATATATATATATATATATATATATATATATACGCAATCATATTTTTTTAAGTTTAAAGAAATGTTTCAGATCACAGTACATAATAGAAATCATCAAAAATGCATATACAGAAACCTGGACACTTCAAGAAAATGTATCCTCTTGCACCGGCGTCTTGTTGTTGTCGACTTAAATCTCTGAAAGCATTAGAAGATTATAGACATGGACACTTTACAAGGTTGCTGAATCTGCACGTTTGAAAAAAAAAATCTACTTTCTTGAGTTTTCTTCACCAACGTTAAATTTTCAAAATATGATCTGAACGATATTTTCATTTGAATTCTGGTTCTGGTTAATCTGAATTCAATTATTATTATTTTTTTTGATACATGAATCTTCTCAAAAAAGTAGATCGTCAAACGTACACATTCAGAAGTGGCGAGATAACCAACATAAGAAAATAATAAATATGTTTACTACACTGACACCACGATCAAGTGTTGTACATTGGGGACAGCGGGGACAGAAAGCAAGGGTCAGTCACTAATAAAACAAAAGCTAAACACCGTCATGCAAAGCGGGTGACACAGATCGCATGTTATTGAGGTGGAGCTCTTTTCCCTCATTCACCCATTCCTATGTTTCTATTTCTTCTTTTTTTTTTTTTTTGTTATCTCTTTTCTTTATCCCATTCACCTTCTCTGTTTTACTATCGGTCTTTTGAGGGGTGTTTTATTTTGGAAATTCTTCTTCCTTGCATCCTGATCTGCATTCTGCTATGTTCTCTCTCCTATCTTTAAAAAAGGCCTAGCTATTCTGTTTTTCTTTCTACCCTTCTTCCTCTTCATCTTTTTTTTTTTTTAATTCTTGTTGTTCACTTACCGTTGGTTGCTAATTCCTATTCCCTGTCTCTCTCTGTTTTCCCTCCCTTACAGAAACACAAGAAATACTAATCCTACTTCTGCCCCTCTTCTCTTTTCACAGAAATAGTCCTTCAGGCGAACATGCTTTGCCTTCTTTCTATTTCTTTCTTCGTCGCTTCTTTTTTTGGGGGGGTTTGCTTATTCTCCTCTTTTCTGTACCACCATCCTACATATATTTTTCTTTCTCTCTTTCTTTTTTTTTCAGGCCATCATGCTTTGCCTTCTTTCTTCAATTCTGTCTCTTCCCCCCTCCTGCTCCTTCTCCTCCTCCTCCTTCTTCTTCCCTTCCTCCTGTTCCTCTTCCTTTTCCACAGTGATTATCTACTCAAAATACCCTCCCTTCTTTCCTCCATCCCTAAGCAGCAACCTATCAAAACTCAACTTCAACACAAGGCAACCATGCTATGCCTTCCTGTGAGTTTTCGAACTTTTCCCTTCCTCTATCCTCCTCCTCCTCCTCCTCCTCCTCCTCCTCCTCCTCCTCCTCCTCCTCTCCTCCTCCTCTCTCTCTCTCTCTCTGACTTTCTTCTTCCTCTCCTTCTCTTCTTCCTCCTAGCCAACCCCACCAAAGGAAAATCTGACTCCTTCTTCCCCCTTGCTCCGTGAGAAAATCTCCTCCTACCTTTACTGGCTCCGTCCGGCCCCCTCAGTATGGTGCATTCCTCAATGTTCCCGTAGGGTTGGAAGAGCTGACGTACATCCTCTTCTGTCTGTTGTTTACTTAGCATTCCCACGAACAGTTTCCTGTCCT